CTAGACCATACCATGGCATTCATCTAACTGAACCGGTTGTGGGGCATTGAAGATAGACGTTACCAACGACACAATAAACCTTAGTTATACCACGACGTCATCAAGATCCTAGTAATGGCCGAATTTAACTACATCATTCTCTGTCGGATCTCATGAGATTCAATCGGTGATGGTCTTTGGTGAATCAATCCATACCTAATCATCATTCTTGTGTTTACATGTTTGATCCTTCCGATCTAGAACTCTCTCTATCCGTGATGCTTGTTACTCTGTTGCGTTGGTCATGGTCTAATTAAGCACAAGTTTTGCCTGGTCCGAGAGGAAGGGACAATGAAGGCGCCACGCCTTCATCTCGCTTTAGCGCTTGTAGTCATCGTTAGATGATTGATGAACATGCTTGTCATTTTTGTTATCTCTGATGTTCTCTGTATTGTTGTGATTGCTTATGAACAGATTGGAAGGTCGTATCAGAAGATGACTTTTTTTCCTCTGAGAAAAAATATGGCTTATTTTTAGTGGAACAATATGACTTATCCGTCTTTTAGTAGGAGTATTTTGTTAGGCAAATCCGTTTTTATATAATATAGTGTATTTTTAGAACAATATGACTTATCCGGCGGCAGTAACTATTTGACACCACGTCTTGCTGATGTCTTCGGCCCAAAGCCCAACTAGACGAGAAGTTGATCCGTCCTAGACTTCCCTATACTTCCCGTTTCGTTGGCCCAGAAAGCGCAAAGCCTCTCTTCCCCTCACCCCCCACAGATCGATCCCTCCCGGACAGAAACGCAGCAAGGCCGACTACCTTCCACCGCCGCTTCGACACTAGGGTTCAGCCGTTACATCGTCGGCGGGGCTTGGCCCGCCGCCGCCGGAGATGGGCGTCGCGGAGATTGCGAAGAAGGTCGACGCCCTCAAGGCCGAGCTCGCCGCCAAGTCGTCCCGCATCGCCGACCTGGAGGCCCGGGTCTCGCTCCTCGAAGCCGAGAACGCGCGCTTGAGGAAGGCCATGTCCGAGGGAGTTGCGATGAACCGTAGAGCCAAAAAGGGTCCAACCTTTGGTCGATTGGAGGAGGGTCTCGGCGGAAACAAGCAAAAGTCAGCCGACATCGCGGGCGGGCATCTGATGAATGATGTCATAGAGGTCAGCGACGGCGAGGAAGAGGGGATGGCTGTGGATGTCAACAGCGGGGAGGAGGGCGTTCCTCCGGTCCCGACTCCTAGCAAGTGTGCGGTGCGGGTGGTGACCGGCAAGAGGGGTGTTGCAGAGGAGATTAAGGACGCCGATGGAGGTGGTGGGCGAGACCATGGGAGCGTTCGCTGTGATGGCAATGTGATTCTGGACGACGATGATGTTTTGATCACGCCACGAGGCAAGAAGCGCACAGCGACACGGGTAATCAGTGACAGTGAGAGTGAGGATGAAGATGAGAATGGTCAAGGGCATGGAGATGGTGAGGTGGGTGTTAGAAGCAGCAGGAAATGTTTGTTGCGTGGAGTCAGTGACAGTGCGAGTGAGGATGGCAGTGAGGGTGTTCGTGTGGTTAATCAAAAACCTGTTTCACCTCTAGTTACGACAGGGGTCGAGAGTGAGGATGACGATGGTGAATTACATGAGATGGAGGGGCGTTCTACTCCGGCAACAAGGCGCTTCGCTCGGTTGGCTGAAGGTCAATCAAAGAGAATGCGACCTACACGTCGGAAACTTGAGTTTTTTGAACCCAAGAATCATGAAGAGAGCGAGGATGATTCAGAAGAGGATGATAATATGGAAAATTTTATAGTAGATGATTCAGATTGTTCAGAAAATTCTGCTGATTCTGTTGAAGAATCCTCTGCTGGACCAGAAGAGTCTGACGACGAGGAAACTTATAAAGAGCTTATGGATAGGATACGCGGCAAAAGGAATGCCAAGAATAAGGATTGGAAGATTGAGCCAGAGATGCTATCAGCATTTGATGAATACCCTGAACTTCGCCTGAAAGCTGTTTGTGCCCTCTATCGAAAGCAGACCCAGGAAGAACAGGCAGGAAAAGCTATTATCATGCACAACAAAAAAGGATTTAACCAGATAGACGCCCGAAGGTAATACCTACTACTAAGGGTAATTAATTTGTGTATATGCGTTGTGAGTACCCCTTTTCCTTGCACTTTAATCGACAGTTCTGCACACAGTTGTATCACCATTTATGTACTACAGTCTACATTTGCTATTTTGTCCTGACATCATTGGGACTGTTCATTGTCTGCATAGCATTTTGTTTGTATCATTGGGTTCATTTCTACACAGTTGTATGACAGCTTGGCCTTGTCCTCAACAAGAACTTTAATCTAGACATTCCTGTATAGTAAATATTTTGTCTTTACTCTTTAAGGGAAGAAGAGATTTTCTATCATTGGGTTGACAGATACTGCATTGACTTGACCATGTGTTGTACTGATCTTGATGTTCAGTTCTATTTGTAAAGTACCTCTCTTTTCCATGTATAATGCAGGGCTTCTCAGACTAATAGGTGTAGTTTTATTTGCAAAATACCTCTTTCCTGTGTAGAAATCTAGGCCACATGGGTGTAGGTTTAACTGTCAACATGTCAAGCTCAGTTTTTAGGTACCGTTCGTTCTGATGCTCAAGTTTAGCTTTTGTTCTATTTGGTTATGCTGTTATGGCATCATAAACACATAACACAATTTTGTTTGCCACGTATGAATAAGTAACACACACCACTAGCATAGGTAATATTTTCTTTTGCTTTCATTTTTCAGCATATTACTTTTCAGTCATTGAGGAAGAGATCAAGAACTAGCATTGAAGTTGGGGTTTCTGTTTGTCTTACCCTGCAAGTTGTTTTCTGTGTTTAGGGGTTCTAACATAGCGCAGTTTCTTCTGGATGGTGATGCTGCTGGGCCGCTTAAGAAGACTGCACAAGACTTGGAAAATTACGATCGGTATGCTCTTGAGTTCTGTCACAAGATGGCTTTACGTTACTCGAAGCAGTTGTTTGCAATATATCAGAATAAGGAGGACCCCTACTTTCCATGACTCTGGTGTCAGTTATCACTTACTTCATATGTTGACCTTTCTGTGACCCTTGTACCTCCCCAATCAGTCAGTCAGAGTCTTTTGTATATATGGGTTTAGTTTTGTGTCTTAAGTAATCTGTAGTTAGGGCATGCTAAAGTTAGTTTATCACTAGGATGCACGCTGTTAAGTGAAGCACGTGTCTGACAGGGTCTATGTTGTTTAGCTGAACTGCTTGTGCTCCCTGTAATATCCATGCATAGTAAATCTATCTCTATCCTTGAAATGTTACCCAAGGAGTTGTTCTGCATTGTTCAATTGCTTTTTTCATGGAGTCAGAATGTCACTATTTCTCTCCTGCGCGTGCGCTTCAATAATGAATGGAAGGTTGGCACAAAGTGGAAATTGTGCGGCTTCAACATACACTTTGAATTTCCGGATCACATTCTTCATGCCTCTTCCGCAGCAGTTCTTCTCAAAGAGATTTGTTCATTTGTATCACCTGAAGCCACAAGAGCTTGACGATCGGGTCGAAGCACTCTGCTTAGGCAATCACGTGGAGAACTTAGATTGATACAGGAACTATTCTGTTTATGATTTAGCTGAATAGTCACTATATACTCTTCTAATATGTATTCACTATAATAAGATATATCAACGAAGACAAGATGTAGGGATCATCTTACCCACCTCGGTGACCTGAACGTGAGTAAATTTGTCGTTCATGTTTCCTTAGCTGTTGCGAGCTTTATTGGCGAGATCATTGTGTCACCCCTTAATCTACGATTTCCACTATGTATCCACTATGTATACTCTTGTGTATCAACGCTTAGGTTAACTTTTCTTGATGAAAACTGTCAAGGTTTTGTGTGTATCATAGCATAATATGAAATCTCACCCTTTCAGTGTTGCAGCTTCTCCTACAACTCAAATACATGAGAAATAATGGGAAATTAAAATGTATCGTCTTCCTTCCACTTTTTGCTTGGGAAGGTCTCCAACCCTAATTCATTTCAAGACTTTGGAGCTAATAACTCATTGAACACTTGTTAAACCATCAGTCCCTCTAATTATTTTCATCAGCGCCAAAACCCACTTAGGAGCTTAGATGTCTTTTACGGCGCTCACAACTGGTCTTTGAAGATGCCCTGCAAGCGTCAACTGCTGAAAGCGCTCATTGATGCCTACGCGTCCCGCGGAGAGGGCGTGGAAGATGGGAGGGTGCTGTTTGATGCGTTGGGGAGTGGACGTACTGCCGCGTCGTGGAAGTTGGTGATTGCTGGGTATAACAATGATTCAGGTGAGATATCGCTGACTAAATGACTTCTATAACGGCCATCTATTATCTTTACTGCTCTACTCTGAACCATTTTGTAACAGTTATCAGCGTTTGAGTAATCTGGACAAACAATATCTTTGTTGTGGATGTTCTGTGTGTATATGGCGTGATAAAATCAAATCTATACTTCATTGTTGTAATACATGTACATTATATTGATATTTCTAGATTCGTTATGAAATATGCTTTGGTAACACCTGTTAATTTCCAACTCAAAACTAATGCCATGGTGTTACCTCTAGAACTGTGTGAATGCCTCAGACGACACCAGGGGTTTCTAAAGTCTAAGATGCGGATCACTTCTGTTTTCATTTTATTTGGCACCCTTTGAGTTGCTGGCTAGTTTGGAGTTAGTATTAGCTGATTATCTTACAACGGTAATAGATAACAGGTGACAGTAGAAGTAGCAAATATGTTATTGTACCATTTTCCTGTTGTTATGTCCTAGCACAATGTTAGACGAAACATCATATGATATGTTTGTCAATTTTTCCTATGGTATTCACATAATGGATTTCCTGCCAAGCACAGATTTTTTCGTAGCCCATCATCTGCTGTTTCTATATTGCAGGTTAGCATTGAACTGAGCACATTTACATGCTTTGCACTACATGCATGTGCTTGTACGGCCAACTTATATATCAGACATCAGCTTTCATCTACTGTCCATAAAGAAAGCTCTCACTGCGAACCTTGCTGCTGCCAATGCTCTGATCAACTTGTACTGCAGTTTTTTAGGTTGACTTGTACTTCAGTTGTGCACATCTTTTGGGTGCAAAGGCCTTTTGATGAAATTCCTGAGAAGTTTTTTTCACCTGGGATACCATGATTGCTGGGTATAACCAATGCAATCGAAAATGCATAGGAGCTCTCGGGTGCTACGCCCCCCTATATTCAAAAATAATTTAGTAATTCAAAAAAAGTCAAAAAATCCAGAAACTTTTTATGGAATCAAACATGACCAAGTATTGCACTCGTACAAAAAGATTAAACAGGGAATGACTATTATTGTATCCGGAATTAAAGATTTCCCATAAAATGCTAGATACAAGTACTATTCATGCTATACTGTCGTCATAAATTTGTCTTTTTTGCCCTGAAGTTACCGAGAATCATTCATTGGCCAAATTTTTTATATGAGTACAATACCTAGTCATATTTGGTTCAAAAATATATCCAGGATTTTTTGACGTTTTTTTAAATTATTAAATTATTTTTGAATATAGGGGGGTGGAGCACCCGAGTGCTCCTAATCCGCTTCCCAATGCAATCCCCTATTGCCCTTGCAGCTACTTTCTCATGAACCTTAAGCCAAATTGCTTCACCCTGACTAGCATTACATCTGCCTGTGCTGGTATTGCAGCTCTGAGACTTGGGAAGCAGGTCCATGGCACTTTCCTTCAGAGAACCTATGACAAGGGCCTACAAACGAGCAATACCCTTGTGAACATGTACTCCAATTCTGGGCGCATAACAGATGTGAAGGTTTTCAACAGGATGAGTTGCAAAGACAAATTGTCTGGACATCAATGATTGTTCCTTGATACGTGCTGGGTTCATCCTGACCATGCTGTGTTCTTGGTCCTGACAAGTGCTTGCAACCATGCTGGTTTAGTAGATGAAGTATGGAGCTTCTTCAGGTCAATGACATTTGAATATAATTTGCAGCCTAAGAAATATGTTTACGTGTGTGTCATCGATCTCCTTGCTCGTGCAGGGACGCTGAGACATACATTTGATCCTATTGATAAAATGCAATTTGCTCCTGATGAATCTTTTTGGGGAGCATTAGTTGCCTGCAAGATGCACAGGAATGTGGAGCTGGGCAGATTGGTTGCAAGGAAGATCATCGAGGTCAATCCTGATGGAGCAAAGAATCACGTCCTACTTGATATGCTGCAGGTAGCAAATGGGGTGAGTATGGTGTCACGAGGAGGCTACTGAGAGGCATAGGGAGCTGGAAGGTGGCTGGAGTGGGCTGGATAGATGTAACCTATATGATCTACTCCCTCCGTTCCAAAATAGATGACCCAACTTTGTATTAAAGTTAGTATAAAGTTGAATCATCTATTTTGGAACAGAGGGAGTATAACTTTAACACAGCTGACAGTAGCAGCCATCAGCCCATCAATTTAGTTTGGCAGATGAGGTATTGAAGATCTTGGCTCTACGGATGCATGACATTGGAACTGATTTCGTTCATGATGTTTTCAGATTTACATGGTCAAGTTGTGCCTGGATGATTCATTAGTTGGAGCAAAACACTAGCAGAGATGGGATGCTGATGGATATAGTACATGTTCAGAACCAAGCTACTCTGAACTCAATTAAAGATTATCTAGCACAAGTATATTTCAGCTTAAGCAAAAAATTGAAGTGCTTACAGTAAGAAACACATAGAAAGATATTGTTCAACAGTTTCCTTTAAGTTTTTATGATTTCCTCATTTGCACCTGGGCAGTTAGCACAATGGGGTCCGCATTTGGCCTTCTCATTTTGCTACAAGATTCAAGTATTAATGCTGGAGCAAAAAAAGTCAAGGACAAGTGAACTGGTTATATTTATTTACTGAACTTATTCAGGTTATCCTGAAGTGCCATCGGAATTGATATCAGCTGTATCATTCAATATTGGTTGATTGCTTTGATCGTTATAATAATCAGTATAATCTGGAAGAAAGCAGCACTTGCTCCATTGCCACACTTCTCAAATGGCTGGTGGTCGCATGGATACCGCGGCGATGCATTGTTCAGTAAGTATGGTTGCTCTAGCAACATTCTGAATTTGAAGTCCCATTTTTTGTTCTCTGTGTTTGGCACTACTCTTCTAGGCTATTTAAAATGCTCTCATCACTTAATCATATTATAATTCTGGGCATGCATAAAAGATCTGCATTTATCAAGTGGAGGAACTGACTAATACATAACGAGCATGCTAACATTAACATATCCTTCTTATTTTGGTACATTCACAAGTTTTCTCAATGGTCCAACAAAGTTAGTCATACCACTCCAATAGCACAGAATGGTATTAAGTGAAGTTCTGCACATTGTGCACACCTTAAAAGCAATCTATAAGATCTTAAATGTTGTACTGTATTACGAACATATGTTATGTTGCGAGCAAGAGCCAGCAACGTCTTATGTTCACAATATAGACTTCACTACTTTGTATCAGCAAACCCTTCATTTCCTGCCAGCCTCAAGTACTTGTCCTTACGGGTGAGTGTGGTGGATCGAAACCCAAGAGTCCTACCAATCTCACCTTGCACCAGATTGGCCACCTCTTTGCTCTCGCATCTCTTCCCTTGGATCACCATCCTTGTTGGCATCTTGTCCATGAACTGAACATCATACGCTGGGCGTGGGTTCATGAAGTAGTAGAAGTGGTCTAGATACTTGAAATTGCCGGTGGAGGTGCCGTGGAACATGCCGGACCAGTTCACCAGTGCCACTGGGTAGACCTCATCAACGAGCTCGACAAACAGAGGGCTGAAGCGGAGCAGGTAGGGCTCCCGGCATGTGGTCCCCTCAGGGCAGACCACCAGGTCCCCCTGCCTCAGTGACTGCTCCATCCTCCTCCGGTCCTCATCTCTGTTTCGGGTCAGCCGGACAGTCCCGATTGGTGATAGGAGCTCACTTACACGGCTGACACTGTATGTGACGGTTGACACCTGCTTGTTCAGCATTGCCGAGATGTACACCGGGTCGAGAAGTGTGCGGTGGTTGCACACGTAAAGGTGGCCCTGTGGGCTGGGCTGGGCATGTGGTTCATCGCAGCCCACTTGACCACTGTGGACTGGTGAGTTGATGACCCGGGTCGTTACTCCTATTACAGCCCCGATTGCGACGGAGATAGAATATGGTAGTTTCACAAAGATTAGTGTTCGGAGCACGGTGAGAGGGAGGGAAAGTGGGAGCCACATGAACATGGCTAGGGTGGCCTGAGGGGTAGGCCTAAAGGCTAGCCTGCCATCATGGAAGATCAAGGGTCTTGGGTACTGGTCCCTTGTCAAGGGTGACCATTTTCTCTTATCTTCTCGTGTCACCAAGTGTACTTCCTGCAAATGAGAAGCAAAACTATATTAGATTTCACTACCCAATGGCTTGTACGCTTTACCTATTCACCCTGTAAACAACAGTTTGCAAACTGAAGTACACCAAAGTACAAATCGACAAAGCTGAAGAAACTTTCTCAATGTAGAAGGTAAATTGTAAAATGAACTCTGTGAACTACTATAATTTTTACCTGAGCCTGTAGAGTCCAGAATTCTATAAGCAAACTTGCAAACAACAGAAGGTAATCTTTTGTGATTTCTAACTTCTTTTTGTAGATTATGAGTAGTCACGATTTACTGTTTTACGAGCTATGTGTCTCTTTACCAAGGGACCATACATAAGACTAATCCTTTCATTCTGGAATATTCTAATACTGCCCCTAAATTTTCATAGAAGTTTTCTTCCTGCACAATCTTTTTTGTTTTGTTTTTTTGCATATCTCATGTATAGCTCGTTAGAATTAATTGTACCGAAAGTGAACACAGAGTTATCTTCTTCCAAACAACAAGTATCAAGTAACTAGTTTTTCAATTTTCACTAGTGAGGAAGCCATTTCTAAATAACTTGCACAAGGTGATCATTTTGACCTAATCAAGTTAGGGTAAACTAAGGTAAAGTAATTTATCAAATAAATCTGCGTGGCCTCATTCCTGTCTTTCTCTTCCTGGTCTCAAGCTTGTGAGAGATAAGTGCATTAAGCCTTGCATACATTGTCTTGTGATGAGCAAGCCGGAATCTGCCAGCGGATGGCCAGTGAGCTAAAAAAACGAAAGAGTGGTTACATTTTTCATATCCTCTCCTCTTATAGATAGGACGAACCAAGAAGAAAGTTTTTTGATCCCAAATGGTCCAAGGGAGCGGAAAGAGAGGGATTCGAACCCTCGGTACAAAAAAAATTGTACAGCGGATTAGCAATCCGCCGCTTTACTCCACTCAGCTATCTCTCCACTTTCGATACAACTAAAAAAAACTGCTTACTTATCCCATGATATGGGGCAAAATTTAGGAATCTGCTTATGTAATAGAGCCGATCCACTAAGGGATTAAGCAGCGGTGTAGTATCAGATCCCAAAGATAGTAAGTTCTTTTTTCAACCTTGACATGAGCTTAGCTAATTGCAAAGCTATTGTTAACAAGACATACATAGTATTCTTATAGTATATTTTTAATTATATTTAACATTTCCAAGCACAAATTCTCCATCTCAACACATCATACCTCTGTACCTTTTCATGGGGCTTTCAACTACCACTAGTGGGATTCAAATGTCTACCTAACTTGTGTGAGTAAGATGTTCCAAAGATGCCAGGAGGCTAGCTACATCGAGTTAAATGAGACAAGAACTGCACAGCTATATGGAGTTAAATAAGACAAGAACTGCGTGGATACATATGTCTAACATCTGTGATAGTCATGCTTAGCTGCATGGTACGTGATTTTGAGCCTGTTCGATGTGAACGACTAACCTTTGGCTCATATTATTCTTAGGTGCTTGATTTTTATATATCATCCATGAGGCAAGCTAGCCTTGCTAGTTTCAGGCTTTCAGTTACATATAGTTGCAGACTTGCATGTATACTATGTGTGCATATGCTGGGTATATGTATTTAGAGATCTCATGTATTTATGACTGATTTCGGAAAAACTAAAACTTGTAAAGAGTAACACACATATGTTCAGTACGATGTACAACATACATAACTTAACGGCAAATAACAACAATGAAACACATTTTAGATTAGAAGTGATACTAGTTCACCTTAATTATGATCGTTTCAAAGAACACCCATAGTGTTCAACTAATATAATCAATTAATACTTGAATGGACTAATTGGCTCAAAAGTTGCAGCAGAAAAGTATGACACGGAAGAACAAAAAAGGAGAGGGGTAAAATACATGATGCAGCATTGCAGTGTATTTCAAAAAGATAAAAATAATATCCATTCATAGAATCTAACCTTGCACCGAGAGAAAAGCTGGTGATGATCATAGTCAAAATAGCTTGAGCTGCTTCCAAACCCTATCATCTCGTTTTGGTCGAACTTTGCCTGCCCTAGCCTTGCTTCACTCTCATTTCCCAATAAACCAACATAACGCCCTCTTATCATCTTCACCTCCCTTCCCACAACCACTTCAAATCCTGTATACTCCTTAAGAAATGCTTCTGCCATAACCCTAGGGATCAACCTACAAACCCCTGCCACCCTCTTTACCCCTCTCACCACCTCAAGTCCTTCCCTCCCCACATCCTCTAGGAAATACTTGGGCAAAGTGGCCTGTGCAACCCTAACCACCTTCTCCTCCCTTAACCCCACGAAGCACACCATGACCATGATCTTTGTTTCTACTTCTTGTGTCAGGCAACATAGCAAAGGGTAGAGGCATAGTAGGATGAAACCTCTTAGGAAACTACCTGCCTCTATTGCAATAAGCATGAAATAAGGGAAGGTAGATGTAGACCTCAGGAGACCTCCTTCAACATCTAGGACTAGAGTTTTGTTCCGGAGGTGTTCATCATCTTGTGGCACTCTCAAGCATGTCTGGATGATCTTAGGACAGGTAGATATGCCGCTCGAGCTTTGCAGGTGATGATACTGGCCTAGCGGATTCCCTAACCTTCGGCGAAGTAAGCGGTAGAAGGCAAGGAGAGATTTGGAGAAGGGCTTTAAAGCCATGTGTGCACCTTGAACCCCAAAGAATTATTGCCTCCTGTGTTGGTTCAATCTAGTTTATTTGATGCAGGTTGTAAGGTGCAACTATAAGAGGTGTCGTATATATATGCAGGTAAAGCTTAGGTGCTTAGATGGTGAAATGATTGTATACAATTATTGCAAGAGAAACAAGGTTTGATCCCAAATTAGGTCACAAGCTCTGACTTGGCTTAACACTCTTAATTTTGTTGCTTGACAACACTGTCAAAATGGACCAGGATTACTTGAGCTTTACACAGAAGTTAAGGACATTGATTTGCCAACGATAGTAAGCGTAAATATGTGTGTTTACCACCCACCCTGTTTAGGATAAGAAAAATTATGAATCTGTTGACTAAGATTTTTCACCGGAATGCCACATGTTAAGGTCACTCTCTTTGTGTATAGTCGTGTATGATATGACGTGTCTCTATTGATATACTTTGAGTGCCCAGAGAATTATAACTTTTGACCTAGCTCTTTTCCGTATTTTGCGCCGCGTCATTGGTTCATCGTGCATGAGTGTTTGCTATTGATGTGGTTTGATCTCACGGCCTGTATGTAATATATACCTTTGTATACAAAACAAGTAGTTTTGCATGCACACAAATCACAGGATCTAACAGGGGTCAATGCATGTCTTTGTTCTGGCAGAATTGCGGTTGATGTTATCAAATAAATGAAAAAAGCAATATGTTTGGTGCAGGCTTGATGTGTCTCCATTGTTCAAGCCTGGAAGAAAGCTAGCTGAGGATGACTTCTCACCTAAAAGCTAGAGCAATCGAGGTACGTACGTAACGTACCTGCTGGCCATTGATTGGGTAATAATATTACCTGTCTGTTTGCTTTTAACTTCACATGGGTACACAAAGTAATTTGATTTGTTTTCAAATGCATATTTAAAATATGGATTGCCAACATTTTTTTCTACCATCGGTCACTCAAGACTCAACAGTGTGTAGAGACTATAGAAATTTCGTTGCTTTGTGCTCTAAGTCCTAACCCGAAGGACTTTTTTTACTTCGTCGATACTCCCTCCGCTTCGAATTATAATAAGATGTTCTAATTTTTTCAGAATTAGATGTATATAAACGTGTTTTACTGTGTTTGTTCACTCAGGTATGTACTCCCTCCGTTCCTAAATATAAGTCTTTGTAGAGATTCCATTATAGAGTCATAGTGAAATCTCTATAAAGACTTATATTTAGGAACGGAGGGAGTGGTCTATATTAAAATATCCAAAACATCTTATAATTTGAAGTGGAGGAAGTATTTCACTACAAATTCTTCAAGGCGCATGAATTTACGTTGTTCTGTAAGAAACGGTGCTGTTCTTAGAGGAATCTTGTAGCAAGCGATCAGCGTGTCCACCTACCAGATCTGCTGTTGCGTCATTGTGTGTCGGTGCCGGTGCTAGGGCTGCAGTCACTTTTGGGGTCAAATGCATGATTGTGGGCAGAAATCACAGATTTGACCTGAGGCAGAAATCAAATCACAAACTGACCTGTTCAGGAAAAAATTTCACTCTGCTGACCCTTTGGTGTGGCACCCGACATCTGGGCGCCGCACCCTACTGTGCAGCGCCTTCCCCTTAGGTGTCGCACATCCTGCCAGCATGGCAGCCCTGGTCCAGTTGCGGCCCCACACGCACCTGTGCAGCGCCTAAGAGCTAGGCGCCACACTTTGACGTGCAACGCCTAGGCCTTGGGCGCTGCACAGTGACTTAAGCGCGGCCGCCCCAGCCCGACCAGGCAGTTCTTCATCTCTCCGCTCTCTGTACAAGAGCAGCGGCGGCGGCGGCGCCCCCATCTAATCCCCCCACATCCCTCTCAGATCTGAAGATTTGATCCGTGGATTCGATCCCCAATCCATCCTACTAGGTAAACTCTTCCCTTCTCTTTCTTTTGCTCCGTAAATTTGTTGCCATTCTAGAGATTTGTCCATGATTTGATGGAACCCTTGATTTGTTTGGTTTGCTCGATTTAGGATGTGTATTCATATTGGTAGTACCGCAGTGTTATTTATTAGTTCACAATATATGATTCTTGTTGTTGAAACCCTAGATTGTTTAGTTTTTTTAGATATATATGAGATGCCTATTTTTGTTTAGTTTATTTGAGGTGAAGATGAACTTTTATATGTTTATTGTTTGAAATTGTAAGGATGGTTTGGCTTCTGGACGATGTCTACGACGTGCAACACCGGGCCTACATGATGCGCGAGAAGGATAAGGTAATAATGAGTAATCTAAATATTTTGCAAATTTGCCTTTAGTTGAAATTTACATGCCCTAAGATTTGTCATTACTTGTTTTTTGCAGAAGCTTGAACCTCTGAAGATTCGGTATCACGGGGTCTCTGGTCCTGCCATGCCTTACGATGAGCGGTACACACTGTACATCAAGCAGGCAGGACTACTCCCGTGGATTCTGTTGGTCAGCCGGTCCACGCCGAATCTGAACGCTCCACTGGTGTCCGCTCTTGTTGATCGGTGGAGGCCAGAGACCCATAGTTTCCATCTTCGGACCGGGGAGATGACCGTGACGCTCGAGGATGTCTCGTTGATCACCAGTCTTGCTATCGACGGGAGGCCTCTATGTATGAGCACCGATTCTGATGGGTGGCGCGAGCAGATGATTGCTCTTATCGTTATGGCTCCTACCGAGGCTGAGGATGATGTAGAGGAGGGAGAAGAGAAGAAGAAGAGGGAAAGGAAGGCAGCCGGAGCTGCTTTCACGTGGATTCAAAATAACTTTGCGACGTGCCCTCCGGATGCAACTGATGATGTGATCCAGACACATGCTCGTGTGTATATGTGGTACATTGTGTCGAGGACTTTGTTTCCTGACTCCACTGGCAAGAACGCTCCATGGATGTGGCTGAAGGCGTTGACCGTCTTCGATAGCAAATGGAGCTGGGGTTCAGCGACTCTTGCCTACTTGTACCGACAGGTAGTTGGTCTGTTTTGTGATCAACTCATTTATTCATTAGCAATGCAAGCTTGCTGTCAAGTTAACATTGTTTTTCTTTCATATGTAGCTGGATGATGCGTGTTGCAGGATCACACCTAGTGCAGGCATTGGTGGTAATCTGCTTCTACTTTCTGTATGGAGCTGGGAGCGTCTGCCTGTTGGATGCCCGAAGAGCGTCAGGTTTGATCCTTGGTATGCAGATGAACATGACGAATTACGGCGCCCCACGTGGGCTTACAAGTGGGATATCGTTTCCGAGATGACGAACGATGTCAATCTCATGTACCAAAAGTACATTGCCGAGTTGGACACGATTACGCCTGAGCAGGTAAGGAGGTCATTACTTTAGTCCTTTCTCATGCTTGCTTGAAAAATAGTTATCAAATTTGCATTGTTGCCCTGTTTCATAGGTGGAATGGCAGCCATATGGCGCGGGTGAGAGCTTGGGGTACACCGCGGACTTCCGCCTCAACCCGATGTGCTTGCGGGATAAGGATCTCTGGCTTATGCGGTGCCCACTGATATGCAACTGGGCGATTGAGTTTCATTTGCCGCATCGCGTGTATCGTCAGTTTGGTCTTTTCCAGCCTCACCCGCCGGATTGGGTGGACACAGATAAAGCACTTCATAGGTAAGAGAGCATGTGTGCGTATTGTCTAATCATCGGAACTCCTTTTGATTGTGCTAATGTTTGGTTTTATACCACGCAGGTTGGATAGGTTGAGTCCCTGCTGTTCCGGTGATTAACTATGTGGTAAAGTGTTCCCCTCTTTACTTTCCTGTTGACCGTATTACACATGTTTGAATGGCTAACGCATTCATTTTTTCTCATCCGCAGCGCACCGAGATCAAGAAAGCAGCTGATGAGAGCCAGTCTATTCTGGAGAAGACACCGGTTGGAACTGGCAATGATGATGGTTCACTACGAGCATTCCTCAAGGTACATATCGCATTCACTATGAGAGCTAGTCTATGTTGCGAAGTTTGATATCTTACACACTTGTTCGTGTTACAGCGTCAGGCCAAGAAGTTAAGGCGGTTATCGAACCTTCTCGGTTGCCGTGATCCTGAATATGATGAACCATCTGCCTCTAGGTCTGGTACACCATCAGACCCCGCACCTCACCATGAGGGGGACGATGTGAGTTCCTCATATGCTTATATGGATGATGAGGGTGGCATCACCCAAGAGGTATGACTAATCCTTTAGATGTGATTCTCACTTGATTACGACATCGGCCTTCACCATATTGTTTCGTTGTGTGATAGGGCGATGAGCTTGATGATGACATGACTTTGGCGGACGCTCAAGCTCGGTCCGCATATGTGTTCAAGCCTAGGCAGCCCAGACGCCGGTACACGCCCAACGACTATGACAACAGAGGCAACCCAAAGGTGGTCGTAGGGACCTCGCGGATGGCTAGCTTGGATGATGAGGCGGAGGAGGAGGCGGAGGCGGAGGCGGAGGCGGAGGCGGAGGCGGAAGTGCACGAAGAGGATCCTCGTGCTCCTAAGAAGAAGAAGCTTGCCTGCAGGCGTGCCACGAGGAACACGTGCGGAAGGCATTAGTGCTTGTTCATGTTAATTGTAGCCGTTTAATTAGGTTGACGAACTTGTGAGATTATGTTATATGTTGGTGAACTCTTACTAGTGTGGTATTTGTGTTTGCGAACCTGAAGTAATGTTGAATTGTCTTAAATGATATGATGTTCAAGTTATTAGTTTCTACAGTTTACAGTATTTTTATTATGTTATATGTTGGTGAACTCTTACTAGTGCAGTTTAAGTATTTTTATTATGTGAGTGCTGCTACAGGAGGCCAAAATGGCATCTGTTTCTGCAGTTTTGCTTATAGCAGCACTGCAGCGCCCAACATATAGGCGCTGCACTGTACTGTGTGGCGCCCAACAATTGGGCGCTGCACTGTATAGTGCAGCGCCCTGTCCTTAGGCGCTGCACTACTTCCAACATCTCACATCCAGAGAGCCACAGTTGGCTTGCATCACATCCACAA